ATGAAATCACGATTTTGTAAGTAGTTGTTATACTTCATAGTTAGAGACAGACCAAAACATCGATTAGGTATAATTTTACGCAATATATCATCACTTATATATTACTAAAATATCCATTTAATTACGATACAAACATCTCACTTGGGATTCGATTCGCAGGTAGTCTAGGGCCTATGCTAATACATATTCATTAATTTGGTTCCGTTTTTCGTCTTTTTTAAATACTTATAACGAATATTTATATGGATAAAGGTATAACAGTTTAAAGTGGAATACTCTATAAGTGTTTTATCTTAGAACATTTAGCACGAACACCTAACTATGCTACAGGGTGGTTACAGATTCGTAGTACATTGCTACGACTACAAATGACTCCATGCGGTTACTACATAAACGTTTTTGTATTTTTATCTTCTACGTAAAACTATCAATCTTCAATCTGCCATATATATATGTATATAAATTTATATTATAATAAGTGATTACGTAACAATTTATTTAACTCGTCGAGTACCGGTTTTATAGACACAATTAAAGAACAATAGGTCGCGGTCACCGGTGACCGCTTGGTGTTTGACAGTTTAAAATAAACACCTGTAAGGCAACATAACAGTGGACAGGAAAAATACGGTGAAACAATTGAATTGCATATTCCATCTACATCCTTGAAAAAAAGTTATTTTTAATTAGGTACATCTGAAAATATTCTATGACATCGTTTTAGGCAGATCGAAAACAAAATAAAAATATCTTGAGGTATGTAAATAATTATTAAATGTGTATCATTCATTTTATTCTTATACACAAACATATCTGGATAATGTTTCTCATAATAGATAGTTTCTATTAAATCTACAACCTTGTTGTGCGACATTTACTGACAATTTATTTAACAAATACTTTGGCTTGAGGTGTGACGATATTTGGTGTACGGATTTGACACAGTTGTCAATGAACGAGGAATTAATGCAACATTAAGATATTATTACACTGATCTAATACTCTTAACCTTTGTTGAAGAGTGGAAAAAACAAAGGTTTTCACTTATTGTCAGTAAATGTAACACAAATTGGTAGGTAAGTGATGGATTATTTTTAACTTTATTTTGCCTAGCTACCTAGTACGTGCATACCTTCTTACGTATAGGTTATTTATATTTATTTGTTTCCATATATATTATTTTTCATCATCTTAAGTATACAGTTTCAGGTCACAGAACGCCAAGTATACCCTCAGTAAATAAACTTTCAAAAAGCATTTTAGTAAATAACTCGAGAGCATTAAATGCAATATATTTGTAAGGAACCTGACTCATACTTAAGGCTTAAGTGATAGCTAAGACATAATATTTTTGAGATCTGATATATTTTAACTAAACATTTTCTATTGTGATAAGTTTTCTAATAAAATTGCCTTCAAGACATTCCCATTTACCGGCGTTACTTAGAAGGTCGAATAGACTAAATTGTCCGCTGGTAGGTAATTGCTACCGCATTCCGCGTTCGACAAAAAATAATTAATTGTTAGAATGTAACGTTGCATAAAATGCTAAGATGCCTTAATAGAATGGCAGGGTTTTCATGTGCAGTATACATGTACCAACATTCACTAAGTACAGTCCAAATTTTCATATCTTTTATCCGACAACGGGTATAGTACGAATCGCCACTAAGTTCTCAACGACCCTACATTACGTTTTACGTACTAAGCTAATGTAATGTGCATCTTACAATAATTTGGTATCATGTATATATTTTATATATTCATATACGTATATATCCTTAAAACTTCAGGGGACGGCTTAACGTGTTAACTGAAATAATGCGTTAACATTTAATAAAGTTATCAATAATTTAGGATATATGTTTTCTCACGACGATTTTCTCTGAAAATAAATAGATTTTTGAAGGAAATAGGAATAGAGAAAATTGTAAATAGATTATTCGAATGATGAAATATATAGGTAAGTATAGGAAGATTCTGTAATGTCAGGTTATGAAAAATAGCACTCATGTGTATAGGTATATAGTTATAGCTCTAATAAATAAAATAAATAGTCAACACTTTAATGCGTATCGTCTAAATCTCGTATATACTATGTTTATTATTTTAAGACAGTATCAAGGTGAAATATTAGAGACTAACAGCTAGGATGCATTAAACAAACTATAGGTACATAATGTTATGTCATCCTATCTTGTGAAAACAATATTATGTTTTAGAAGTCAGCCAGAATAAATCTCTACGAAATAAATGACAGAATAAATCAAACCTAAGTATCTTAATGACGCGTGTAAATGTGTCAACAAAATGATTAACACGACAAATTCATAATATACTAATTGGCTGTCATATTAATGAGGTACTTATTTAGCTTTAGTATTAGATATTATTGACGCCAGATATACCTAGCCTTAGATATATAATAATATATAGGCAGAAAATGTGTATTTAAAATATAGCGTAAATAAATGTAAATAGTACTATGTGCTATCAATGCATATTCATATGTAAATAAATCATCTCTTTAATGAACGGAGCAGTGTATTTTAAAGATGTTTTATCAATCTACTTGCCATAAAACTAATTTTCCGCCCAACGACAAAATGTCTACCTAGCTTAAATAATTACAAATTTGATATTATTCTGATAATCTATTAATAATTACAATTATAACATTAAGTACATCGACTTGGTTATGTTATTGTTGGTTTATTTGATAAATAATTAATTTAAGTATAGTCGGTAATGCTAACATAATATGTCGATACTTTCAAACAGGAGACAAATCAGTCCCAACTCAGAAAATATTTAAGTACCGATAATCAATATAGACTTAAAAAAGTCTTTGTTGACTATGACTATACTATTGATACTGATAATAGCATAAGCGAAAGTAGAGAGCTATATTTGAAGAAAAATGTCATTGTCGACTCAAGCTTGCAATCGATGATCGAAAGGGCTATCAGTCTGAGACAATATGATAATTATGGACAAACGACACTTACATTGTATCGTTAATTATTTTAAATGAATGGTACGGGTACCATTCCACGGTACATAAGCTAATTACCTATCAAATGTCACTGGCTAAGTCTACGATGTAAGGTCTAGTCTAAACTAAACATTCCTGCAATCAACTAATACACGTACATATTATATTTAACTTAAATAACGTGCGGCTCTAATCTAAACTTTGATAAACTAATATTATTATACATACTATCTCTCCTCTACTCGACCACCAATATTCCCTTATCACTATTTTCTCTAACTCTGTTACTATTGTGGATAGCTTTAAGCATTCAAAACATTTCAATTTAATGACAACACATAATTATAAAATGTGCAAAGTATCTTTTTGTAGATCACGCTTTTATAAATAAGTCTTATCCAATACAATAGTATATATTTTATATCCCAATTAAATTAATTTAAATTTTAAATCACATTGTTCAAAAAATGATATGTAGCCAAGTAATTTTCGTAAATGGACCGTAATACAATGTGTATAATATACATATAATTTATATAATATTACAAAATTATGTAAATTGGGAGATTAAGAAAATTACCAAAAGTAATATTTTACGTAGGCCGTGTGTCGTACCTAATCAATATTGCAATAAGCCCAATTTACCTAAAAACCCAACTTTACACAAGCGTAAAAATACAATATGTAAGTAAAGAAGTTACAAAACGACAAAATACTATTGTTTACTTAAATTCGAATAGCCATTTTTGAAGCTTACCAAATAATTGAAACTTATACTACTGAACAGAAAACTAAATACATTGATATTAGCGAAATATATAGTTATAAAAATTACAAAAAGAGTTGCTTAACGAAAAGCAATGGTCGGTCGCGCGACATGGCGGGGCGCGGCGCGGGCTGCGCGGCGCCGGTGCAGGCGGCGCACGGCGCCATGCGCAGCGGCCGCGACGCGGAGCTGGCGCCGCAGCGGCCGCACGCCGCGCGCCGCACGCCCAGCGGCCGCCGCCACCACCACACGCCCTCCGCCTCGTAGCCCGCGCCCTGCTTGTACCCCGACTCATTCCCCTTGTCGTACCCTGTAGAACCTTCGTAAGCCCCCCTGCTATACGACGCGTCGTATCCCGCCTTGTCGTACGACGTGTCGTAATCCTTCTCGTAAACCCCCGAATCGTAATTTCCTTTACTTTGCGACCCCGATGCCGTAGAAGTGGAAGCCTCGTAGCTTGCTTCGTAGCCCGATTTATCGTAAGAGTAGCTAGGTTTTTCGTAGTTGCTGTAGCTCGTAGCATATCCTGAGGGTAAGTCGTAGCCGTGCTTGCTACGATTCCGGTCCGACCACGTAGACGTTTCGCTGTCGCATGGCGTTACTGGAGCACTTCGAACTGTTTTTGGTATAGATCGTATTGGTATCGTTTCGTCAGTTAGGGAGCCGCGTTTCTGAAAAAAAAACAGGTATATTATTTATAAGAAAGTACACTGCGAAGTTTAATTAATTTATTTATCTTCTGATGCATGTGATATACAAATCGTATTACGAAGTATAGGTATATCGTTTATTGACAGTAGACGGCTATAAATTAGTACGACTGTGTATGTGTATTGATTTGGCTCAGGCACACTTGGTTAATCCCATTAAGTCAGACGTGATTGGTGTGAAGCACGTGGTTGATATTGCATTACAGTGTAAGCTTTGTATGGGTACTCCGACTGTAGCATGCGTACTTATCAAGGCTTTAGATGTTATTAGTATTGATAATTTAATTACGCATTAGCAGCTGACACTTGACAACTAATCAAGCCTACTATATCAGTGTATATTATATTATACAAAGTATCATATGATTGTATGTATAGGCTACATTTTATTTGTTTATTCACGTTTAATTTGTGAGATGACGATTATCCTTACTATGTATTAAATAAAAAAGCAGCTTGTCACGTATAAATTCATAATAATTTTTGTTAAACTTACTCTCATAAAATCGAAATTGGGCAGCTTGAAGCGTCACACTTCCTGTAGAAATTTGACCGGACACACCGCCTGGCGGTTGTCGCCGGAGCGGATCAACATCATGCCGTCGACCTCCTCTCCTACTTGGATCACGATCTGGTCACGGAGTAGCATCATACCCGTGTCGCCATCAGACACCTGCGGATTGAATACGACGTTTATGTAAATAAGTTTACATGTTTCTAAGAAGGAGTGAAGTATTTCACACACGACTGACAGTGAAATCTCTGGTTAATCACAGGTATTAATGAACTCTGTGTTACTAAGAACTGTTCAGTTGTGTCTGGTGTATTATTAAAAAGTTTAATATGCTGACGTCATAAACTTGGACCGAACAGGTGCATCGAAGAAGATTGACGATGCAAAGAACGTGTTGTTTGTTGCGTGTTATGAAACAATACTTTGCATAATCATCACACAGAATGACTCCTGATTTCTGTCAATGAGATTTTTTTTTTCTCTTTATTTTATTTAGGGACTTTTATACAAATGTACATGTCAGTCCCATCGGACCTTATAATCTTATAAATCTAATAAATTATATAACTACAATTAATAAACTATACACTAAAACGCAATAAAACAAACTTAATTAAATTGTACGCATCCTTAGAGTTAGGCGTTGACAAAATATGATGGAACATACCAACATTATACTTATTTGTCTCGAGCTCTGTAAACAATACTTCTCTTGCAGACTGAAATCTGACACATTCCGTCAATAGGTGCGTAATATCTTCTACTGTACCACACTCCTCACAATTCGGTGAATTATTTTTTCTCATTAAAAATCCAAAATTATTAAGTGGCATGTGTCCAGATCTCAATCTGTGAGCTGCTGTCACAAATTTTCTGCTAAGTCTGGTGTTACAAAACCATGGTACATGAGGAGGTTCCGAGACTATAGACTTATACCAAATTCCTTTTTTCTGTGACCTTTCATTAAAATATTCTTTCCAAATTCCATAACAAATATTTTTATACTTAGGTAATACTTTTACGAAGTTAGTTCCTATATAATTTTCTATACCCTCCTCTATACCCAATTTTGCTAAACGGTCAGCCTCCTCATGACCCTTAATACCTATATGTGAAGGAACCCATTGCAATCTCAGTTGTGTACCTTTTTCAGACAGTCAATGAGATTTCTGTCAAAGAGGTGTGCATTTGAAGGTTTGCTTCTGAACTTTTCTTATTATATGTTTTGTGAAATATGAACCTATCCATCCAGTTAAAATTTTTATTAATTTTTTATTTAGATATGTATTCAAAAGGACAAAAACGTCTACAAAATACAATCAGCAGTTGCTGAATGTACATTTTACAAGGGTCACAAGTCCACGTTAAGAACCATTTGAGTTCGAGTCCTCAATAACTCTTCAGTAAAATTTTCCGAATTGCGGTGCATCTTGTATTGGCTTCATGCCAGAGATCAAGCTTATTTCCTAATACACTAGCTGTCTGGGTAAATATGTAGCATTTAGATATTTAAACATCGTGTATATTTAGAAATACTATATGAGTCTATTAATTCAACTGCACTTCCTTCTTTTTGTATCGGGAGCAAGTGCAGGGTACTCTACTTTATAATCTATAATTCTACTACTCTATTAAATATTTGGACAGTTATTTTATCTTCATTTTTCATTTGAGTCTGTGCGAAGTATTATTTCATTTCACAGTTAATATTTGATATTTCTTATGAAGTCGAAACAGTTTCGTTTATTCAATGCAACTGTCAAATGTGTTACATAACTGTAGGCTGCAAACAATGCACCAACAATAACCTTGAGTTTTCATCGCTCGGACTTCCGTTCGCCACAAAGACAGAATACAATACAATGGAGCTGAATTGCATTCATTAAGTTAGTTTTACGAGTGTACTCAATTCATTTGCATTTGGGCTTCTTGGGCTATTGTTAAGAAGTATATGGCTTACAATCCGTAGGAATGCTAGCAAATTTATTTCAAGAAAAATCTGTGAATATTGTTCCTCACGCAAGGTACAAAATAAATAATTGATTTTAAGAATACAAATAATATATATGCTTTATTCAAGTTTAAAACTTTTACGTATAAATCCGTCTCATGAAAATTGCTAGACCGTCAAATTAATGAACGACATAGTGAAACCAAACCTATTAAACTGGTTTAAGATAGAACATAGCATAGGATTTTACGTAGATAATATAGCTTAAATAATAAAAATGTGTATATGTAATTACCTGAAGATTATGTGTGACTTGCAAAGCCCTTTCTCCAGCTTGAAGCTTAGTGCAGTATTTGGAGGGGAAGTATCCAATCTTTCCAAGACATTTGCCCTTCCACCAGTCGGGGTCCGAAGTGTCGATCACAGTGACCTTGTAGCCCGCCTTAAGGTCAAGTTCATCGGCATGACGTGACTTGAAGTTGTACAGAACCACGTACAGATTTGTTGGCAGAAGGCGTTGATGTTTCTGAAAAAAAAAAACATATTTTACTGTACCTATACAATATGTTTGACTGCCTCGTTGACGCGAGTGGTCGCAATTGCGACTGCCCAGCAAGGGGTCTCGAGTTCGATTCTCGGGTCGGGAAAACTATTATTGGGTTTTTAAAAAAATCAGTAGTAGCACGGAGCGTGGATTTGTGCCCGGTATATGGCAATAGGCTCACCCCCTATTACATGGGACTCACAACATAAATAGTGAAAAGTGGATGTGTTACATTGTACAGTGGTATTAAGTGCCGTATATTATATAATGTGCACCTTTGCCTACCCTTTCGGGGATAAAAGGCGTGTTTGTATCTATACAATATGTTTGATTAAAACTGAAAGCTGAGGAATGGTATGTACAGTACACCAGGTAATTATTTGGTTTTGTTTTATAAAGCTTAAGGTATGATTAACAGAAAGGAAATAAAATAAATTATTATACGTAGACCGATCTACATCTATCGTATCTAAAAGCACCGATGCTTTTCTGTGGTATTTGCACTGTTCGGGACCGAGCTAATTTCTATACACCATTGGTAGCGGAGCAAAATCGTTCGAATCGGGACGTTTCGTAGGTATGTCTATATGTACATGTATTTTGATCTAGAAGGCAAAGGCGATGGATATTGTAAGATAATAAAAAAATTATACCTAGGTATTTTGAATACATTAAATTGTTGAATTACAGCGTAGGCGCGTAAAATGAAGAATACAAAAAATTGTAAAAACTACATTTAATATACCTAATACGTATATTACAAACAGTTGTAGAAGTAGAAACAATAATACTTGAATACGTCGCTTGTATCTTTGTCCCTGTACATACATAGGTATGAGCACGGAAAATATCTTGATAAATATACATGACACGTTCAAGGCTACAACTCTGGTCGCTACTACAGTCCACAATCACAACTGCGCTTTCATATCATTTGCTTTCAAATCACTGTATTTGTCTGCCACATTACTTTTAAAGATTGCATACAATATAAGAATTGTAGTCAAAGACCGATTCGAAGGAATGAAAGAATTTTCTCTAGAAAAATCCGAGATTTCTCGTTGATTCATGAATAGAAAACATATCACGCTAGTGGATTAGAAAATACGTTTTGGAATCAATGTATTTTAACAAAAGAATGTTTAACAGTGAAGTATTTCGCTTTTTGCGTACATACTCTAATATGTAAGTTCGATGACCTGAAACATTTATGAGATGCATCTCCATGTCATGTCTCCGATATTCCCTGTGGAGTATAGTAGGTACATGACATTTCGTCAATACATTCTATTTAAAGAATTTTATAGCTGTAGATGGCAGTAAAAGTGTTATCGTGTTTGAACTTTGTTTTTTACCCTGGGGGCGAGGGCGTGACAGCTCAACAATCTCCAACACAATAGATAAGTTAAAATTGAAGCGTAAAGGTTGTCATATTGGATAGTAGAATACTTTAGAGTAACTCAATAAGACACGTGTTACTCTTGTGTTGTATTTATTGTCAACAGTATAAAATAGAACTATTGAAGTAATAGAAACATAAAAAATACTTATTTTTGAACTACAATTATTTTTAAAACATTTTTAAAGGCAGTTTCAGCGAACGATTCGCTCAATGGGCCTTCTCTCTTCTCTAATATAAAACTAGCGCAAAACAAAAGCTCAATTATGTACTCGCGTTGTTTGTGTTTCCATGCATTATTTCCCGTTGCTGGTCTGACATACGATCTATTTCCGTAACAAAGGTGTGGTGAAGAAGAAATGCCCCTGTGTTCCCGGACCAGGAAATGTAAGGAATTAGGTAAACAGTAGATAAATCTTTATTTTCTGGTAAGTAAAACGAAAAATGGCCGCAAGAAAAAACAAAGAGAATTATAGAACCCACAAAATAAGCTACAAACTCGTATCGGTAGAGGATAATAGTAGAGGTAATTGTGATCAAGGAAGGTAAAAATGCATGTATTCGGCGTACAGCACTGTTATACCGAATACAAAATACCTCTAATATTATGCAACGCATTCGTAGGATTCAGAAATTAACTTAATTGATAATATTTGGTACTCACGCTCATCTGCTTGACTGGCGAAGGGCACGGGCTGGCGCTGTTAGAAGACAGGCTCTTGTCTGGCTCATCAGGTAGTTCCACGCTGCTCATACGTCCCACTCGAGCAGTAAGCATCCTTCGGCTGTGTACTGGCGATGACGGCGCTGTACATAGTCAACACTGTTTATAAATACCTACAAACACACTTAGGCCAATTAAAATATTATTCAGCACATACTCTTGGCTATATCTTTCTCCTTGTCTACCAACAACAAAATCAATTATGCGACAAGAATGGGGAGATGCCGAAAACGTGCTAAACAACGTCTTTTAATCTCGACCTTAAACATCTTAGCACACCCAAGTTCCTTAAACTTTAGCCAACTGTGAATCCATATTTAAGTTATTCTCATCTCGTTTTGTTTCCTTTTGGATTACTTTGTTAATTAAGCTGAGATTGAGATAATAATTAAAATTTAAAGTTGGCTAATGTTTATGCGAATATGGTCATTGTTAACGAATCCCGTTGAATTGAGCGTACCTATTCATAACTTGGAATAATTAGACGATTTTAGCTTTGAAACGTGAACGTCTTTATATTTCTAAGTTATGAAGGGTAGCTCTTTCAAACAACGTATTTTCAATTAAAATCGTGTTAGACAAGATGCACTGCATACGACAAAACTTCATATTCAGTGGTAACCACTTTTTATGCTAACAACTGGTGTATACCATAGTTATTAAAAATCAAGTAAGTGAGTGTTATTCACAGATAGTACACATGTTAACATGCACAGATCGTCACAATGTTAAAAGGGTCATAAATACTCAAGAGACTTATTAGATTAAAGCTACTTATCTATTAAATAACGCAGAAAAACAATGTTGTATCAGTAAATCGATAAGGCTAATGAATATGTGATCTTCACATAGGGTATTATGTTATCTATTATCTTTGACAACAATAGCGTTATTGGACGCTTTATAAAAGCTTTACTATGATCTATGATGAATTTTCGGTTTACTATTACGAACATCATTTTTCTGTTAAAAATATTTCAAATAAAAAAATAACATACATGAACGAGTATAACTATGAATCGCGTAGTTATTAATTCTATTAAAGCCATGCCTCATGCAAACAGCTCTGCAGTTACCTAGAAAAATAAAAACAAAACATAAATAGCATGCCAAAGAATTTACTTACGGTTTGATCGTGGAAATCTAATAATTTGGCAGTGAGTGTACAAAATTCGAATGACTAATTAATTTGATTTTTCTATGATCTTAAGTGGTAATAGTACAATTTTATTATGATCATGATTGTATTTTGATATTTTCTTAAATGCCAATGTTACTTAGGAATTTTGTTCGCGTTCGTATTGGAGTAATATAAACATGTACACAAATCTGTACGAGAAATCCACAGTTAGCTGCACATTTTTCAAAACATAACGACCTCGAATACTGCAAGAATGTCTAGACAGAATAAATACCATTGGGTACCTACCAACTTACTAACACACACAAGCTAAGCCGGAGGGATAGACTTTAGAGGTGAACATTGCTTGTGCTTACAACACAGTTTGACATCAAGTACCAGAGTCCAAAGAACCAAAATTCGGCTAAACTATCAACCTCTTCTGACATTTAGGCTGTGAGTGGCGACTCCGCATGCATGTAGCATTAAAGCGGAGAATTTAGCGTAAAGCAGAGATGCTTATGTCATGTTACAAACTATCCCAAATTATGTGTTCCTTTATCCGATGCCAAGAAACTAATAAGTGTCATGGCAGTATAGATAAGTAATTGAAACTGTACTTTGTCGTTTTTAACTACTGTGAACATTTATTCATGACAACGGAGGCTACTTGGGATATTTAGTATATGACAAGTAGAAGAGTCTCTGAGAAGCAATAAATGGTAGCAGCGTGAGGTTATTTGGACCCAGGCGTTTGTATTACTGTCAGATCGTACATAGCACGCGGCTGCCCTGCGAGGTCTGGTCGCGCCCGGGCCGCCGTCTCAGCTCACCACACTCCGGCGAGTCCAGCGACAAGCTCTTCATCCTAAGGTTCAACTTTTGACGTCTCGGAGAATGCGGCGCTATAAAATGGATGTAGTATGAGCTTACAATCTAATACTCACCCACACCATTTGTTATTATTTCAGTTTTGAACGAGTGTCAATGTATTTATGTACTGTAATTTGCGTAATGAGTTTTGAAATGATAAGAATTTAATTAATTTGTAAGTGTAGGAATGTAGGAATGTCTAGCTTAATCGGTGAAATGATAACAAATTTTTGTTTTGTGGGGCAAGTATCCAAGTTAACTGAATTTTAATGAGTCCAAAAAGTAAGACTGATATTTGTAAGACTGTCTTATCCACAATCTTCAACTTCAAAGTTCGTGGACTTGTGAAGTATTCTCCAGCTTTGATAGCAAGGTCGCAAGTAAAACAATGAGATTTGTTGAGGATTGTGGGTAAAGTCTTTTTGTTTTAGTATGTATGTTAACAACGATATCAAGAATACAAGCAAACTATAATATTAATTAAAAAAATAAAATAAAAAATAGATCTAGAATTCAATGTGCGTAAGCAGTGCGAACCAAAGTTAGAATTAGAGAAGAATAGAGATGCAAAAAGTAAGTCGATAGTAAAAAACACCTAACATCTACAAATAGAAGTAGTAAGTAGACTACTATAGTGAAAGCTACTCTTTAGTTGTGACGCGTAAAGTTGAGTGGCAACTAGAGGCTCGTTAATCTATTTATATCAGATACAGCTTGTCATCAGCAGCTTTCAGATAGTAACAGATATGTGGCATCATGAATGAGGTTTGTTGTCAAATGTTCATCGATGCAACGTATGTCTCAACCAACAACGTGGAAGTAATCTACGGGGATTCGCTTATATACGATGTCAATATCGGTACCAGGTAAGGGACTGGTGCGGTCTGCTTGCCTCAACATTTGGGCACTCTTCGAGTTCTTCATTGAACCTGTGTGGACAAGTAAACAGGAGCCAGTCTATAATTATTTCAAAACTAGATCTACTTTTTCCTTTCGTAGGTGCCCTGGGTAACTTTAAAATAAAACGCTGGGTTAAGTCCTAAGGGAAGCGAAACCAAACGAAACCTCAGTCAATTAGCGGTTAGGTAGGTAGGGTTAGTATTTGAAGAGTGGCGTGTTCTGTGAAGTTTTACTCGGCGTGGTAGTTACGGATTAACGTGAGCTTGATACATCGTGAAACGATAGAAGTGGAATTTGACTCGTGGAAGGCAAGTGACAAGTGAGTGCAAGTAAGAGAAGAGAGGTATCGTGTCAGGTGTGTAACTGCCGATGTTAAAACGCATGCAAACATCGGCACGCCGCCTTAAGCCATGCACCACTTACATCAAAACGCACTCGCAGATAAATGTACAGACGACTCCGAATCAAGAGTAAAACAGAGTGCTCGAGGGTAATCAGAGAAAAGGAAGCTTAATTTTTGTCATTTATTGTAACAGTAACAATATAATTATATATATCACAGTACGCGGGGCGCTTCGGGGTAGTTATAACAAAGACATCCGAGAAGCGGTTATTGAGGACATGCCAAACTGCCGCGCTGAGTCAGTGCTCTTGCCTACGAGGCGATATGATTATTGATCTCGATCCCTTGGGTTTGCTATCTCGCTAATCATTTCTTGCGGACGCTCGCTGTGGACTTGAGAATTGAAGGCGGTGGATCGCCGTTTTCGTTAACTAAACATAGGGGCTGTCCGAAAGGTCGTGTGGTCGTCACCTCCGTCTCTGCAAAGACAATGTGCGGACAAAACAAAATAAATAAAAGCAACATATAAAATACAAATAAATACAATAAAACAAATAAAAATAGAACAGTAGGGAAAAAGGGATATGTTCGGATCAAATATGACGCTCGACTGAATTTTTCAGTAAATACCTATTCAGGAAAGGTAAATGAACCCTGCAGGGACAGGATAAAGCATCTAAGGTGCTTGCCGAGCTTCGACTATTGTTTAGTCCTATTTTTCTATACTAACACTGCAATCGCGAAATAAAAATAAATGAACAAAAAATACTGAACACACAACGAAAACGTGGCACCGTAACCCAGAAGACGGGACAAATAAAGCTGTGAGACGACAGAGCGATGAGCTACGGCAGCCGTGGGCGCGTACTTTCTGGCAGGGAAATGGACCGGTGCTGCGGCGAGCCGCGGCGCGACCGCGAGCCCCACATGGACAAACTCTTGACGCCGGCGAACAGCTTCCGCCGCACACCGCCGTCGGGCCGCGTCGCCCCGCCTATCGACAAGCAGCGCTCAGTACCGACCGCACCCCGCCCCCGTCCTGCGCCCGCGACTATACAATGCGTGCAAAAAACAACTCGACACTACTGAAAACGAGTGAATTTGAGTGAAGCTGCCGATCGGCCGCCGCGCGTCGACTTGCGACGCGCTCGGCTATCGGCCTACGGCGCGACTCGAGCGGAGAAGCGAGCGAGCTCGGGTGCGGCGCCAGACCTGAGCTAGAGGAGACGGGCTGCGGCGCCACGGCCAGGCCTGCGGAGGGCCGCGCCGGTGAGCGCGCGGGCGGCGTCTCGTCCGGGGCCGACACGCGTACTACAGGTCCCCCGCGCGATTCCCCGCCGCCGCCCGGCTTCCCAATTTCGTTGGCCCGCTTCAGAACTTGGTAGGTCTGATCCACTTCCTCCTCTGAGCATCGAGCGAAATGCGATTAGATTCAGGTTCGCTATACGACGATAGTTTAGTGACTCGAACTGTTATTGTGTGCGCGAGGTGGTATCATGTCTGGAACTCGCTTGTTAGTAGGTAAACCGTTTATGTACAGTATTTTGTAGTTGGGCAGAGGATCGTTGAGTGTTGTTAGTCATATCGAACGCTCGGCTTCGGGAGGGTGCACAGGGGTCACTCCTGTCTGATACCGTACCCGAGTCACAGTAGCTATCGAAATCATCATCGAACTCGACAGACCCCTTGAATGAGATCTTGGTAAGTCTCTGTCCCGGCAGCCACCCGTCCTCCACCCCTGGACAACGTGAGGTTAGCTTCCGATTGTGTTCATAGCTATGCGTGGTATGATCTTTGTGTGTTTTTGCATGCTTCAGAGGCTGTGTTCTCAGTTTCAGTTTCAAAATGATTTGATCTATTTGTGGCTTAAAGTGTCAAAATCCTGTTTTCCAACCTCATACATATTATCGTGAAGATATTTTATTATAACAGGTGTAGTTTACTTTTAAAAATAAACTGTATGGGATTTTCAAGTTTAATTCTGAACTTACCATAACTTCTGAAAGCATTGTCTTACAAGTAAATTTTACATTAATCAAACATGTTTGTACCATTTCAATATTCGATAAAAATATCTGATAGAATTTCATTGAAATGATCGATAAGTTGATTTACTGTATTTTTGAATGCTGTTTTGGTTCAATCATATTTACTTAGCACAAAAAGAATCGGTATACCTTTGTGATGTACATATATAAAATATTTAAAATTTAAGTTTTTGCAAAGCTTACTTTCATCGTCGAAGGCTGTTTCCAATACTCTGTGAGACTCTATCTCAGAAGTACTCTTCTGCCGGCGCAGGAGTCGAGATTTGGTCTGACACCTGCCAACTTGCGGCATGCAGTCAGTGTGCACGTTCAATTTGCATAATCGACAACGGAGCCCTTGGCGAGTGTGACCTGTACAGACAACTCACAAAATTATTAGAGGTAATAAGCTCAACGCATGCCTGCTTTACTTATACAGACAGCTCTTTATTTTTTAACGACAAGGACCAAAAGACGGTTCCGCGAGGCCAGGTTTTAAGTGGGAAATGATAATTAAGTTGTGAGAGGAACTCTAGTGGAAAACGAAAAAAAAGAAACAATTGGCTAGCAACAAAAAGATTTATCAACACTATTCACAGGTCTTATAATGTCTAAGCTTATTGAGTAGTTGTTAATAAAAGTAAACATGTTACGAACAAACCGCGAAAGTGTGTGATGGATTGCGACCACGCCTTCTTTGAGATACAAACATAGTATAAGCAGGAACTGATTGTCTAGTCTTTCTCATTGTTGAATATTATATCAATCAGGTTATATAGGCTACTCAAACTTGGTGCGCCGAAGTTATTAAGTCGCCAGTGACCCAAAAATTGTTTGAACACTATAACTTTAGAGTTGATTAATGAAACAAAGCGTAACTTTGAACAAAGAAGACGCTTGAATTTTTTTGTTAAAGGACTAGGCATGATTGATGTATTGTCAGTTCCAGTCAAGTATCAATCGTCTCATGGAAGACTCTGATTAATTTTCCATCGTTTCAGAATGATCATTCCAATCAAACATTTGTAACTACATAATTAAGGAAAAACACAATCAAACCTTGATTTTTAACTTAACTCGTCGAGTACCGGTTTTATAGACACAATTAAAGAACAATAGGTCGCGGTCACCGGTGACCGCTTGGTGTTTGACAGTTTAATGTTACTGAATTAAAATCAATAATAAGTTTTCTGTCTCCAACTACCCATTAGGTAAGTACCTAAAAGGCGCTAATGCTTCTTACAAAATAATAGTTTTGATTTTAATCATGTTCCGGTTTTCTGGCATTTTCTGTAAAAAGTGGTACACCTAAGCAAGGGTTTCATACTTGAAATACAAATTTCACTCTTAATCCATTCTAATAAAGGTGTTACGAGTGCCCATTCGTAACTGGTAGTTTTTGTAAGATCATTAAGGCACGCACAAATGTCTGTGAACTCATTTTCCTGCACTGATTTACCTAAGCAAATTGTGTTTATATCGTACAACACGCTATTGAAAGTGGATACCTATGTAATAGTGTAGTTTATTAATCAAAATATGTACTTAAAAGTAGAAAATGTTATTGCCTGCAAAATCATTAATGATTTAGCGTGATTTTAACTTACATGCTTCTCTGAGAAGACCGTAAGTCTCCTATCTAACACGTTAAGTAAGTAGTAGTATCTAGTAGTAAGTTGAATAGTTGGTTAATTTCATGTCAAAGGTATGTATGTCAATATTTGTACCTATTCCAGGAAACGATATGTGAATTTGTGTATCACATTTAGGTTGTCTCATTCCAGAATTAAGATCAGTATCTGCTTCTCAGTTATTGTTAATAGAGCGGCCATATTACCTTTTAACATGACACTATTATCTTTTCCTATTGTTTGGGTAACAGCTCCTTTACTGAAGATATTAGATTACCCAGTTTTATTTACTTGTAAATTATGATAGACGGAAATTGTGCTTAACAACAAATGAATTAATATAGTAAGTAGAGTTTTTTTTTCTAAGCGACAAGCCCACCACAACCTCCTAAAACCACTGCAACTCCTGTAAGCCAGGATCTACAGTACATACAACCATGAAAATGAAGTCCGGCGCGTCCCAGGGACATGTGTAACTGTCTTGGTTCTCGCAACGAAATGAATCAGAAGATTTATAAGAGCAGAAGAAAAAAATCGATAGTTTCCACTTTCCTCGGTGAATTACTGCAGGAGACAGAATGAATTAAGCCTATAGGCACAAAAAAGAGACTGTACAACTGGGTGAAGCCCAGTCGCCAAGCACCATGGAAATTTGACTAAAAACTAAGTGGGTCCTATGTGTGAACTGTTATACTTTCTTCCAATAATAGGTATGGCAAAAGCGCCTAAACGCACGGAAATTTGTTCTAGATTCCACAATGTTCGTAGAATAAGCTAGTAAAACTAGTCCGTATATAAGCTACACCTGACGAAACAATTAAATTATTTAATATAGTGTTACGTTCATATTGCCAGAGTTCACACTCCCAGAGTATGTGATGGGCGGACTGCTCGTAGACTGACTAATAAGTAGAGTTATTACACTTGATTCGTATTTCTATTGAACAAACTACTGATATTCCGTTTCACAGATAAAATATCATTCATAAATTACTTTTTACCCGAATATTATCGAAAAAGGTGGAATTATCTATCCCAAGATCACCATTTCAGCCGTAGATTAATAAGTTTTTGATGTCCGATTATTCTCAGTAACAGCATAGCACTACAAAGAGTTCAAATCTGATCATAACTAGTGAAAGGTTGGTATGACCTTTTGATATGTGTCACCTTATGAAACGTATCTCTGTCCTGTATCTCTACCTCTGTGAAACGTATCTTTATATAAAAAATACCTCGCGTTATTTGTAGGGGAATAATTAATTTATTAACCACGACGAAGTCAAAAAGAACCACGCGAAACAGCAATCAGAGGTAAAATAACTATCCTAAATCACATTCTCATTCTTGTACCCTTCCAATTGAGTCATGGTACGGCGGAATAGTTTCGCTGAACCTGCTTACTCATATACCTACTGATTTAATATTCAATGTCATGAGATTGAAAATTGAAGCAATTTACTTCGCAATCATAAGCTCGTAAAGCACAGTAATAAAGTAAAAACAATGACAAGTTTGACGCATTCCGAAATGGAAGACAGAAGTATTCAAGGACGAGACCCGTTGAAAATAATGTTGATTGTAGAAATGTAATATTTCCGTCATTATTTTTACAATCTGGTGTTTAGTTACTACTTTGCTATCATATTATTTCAACACAACTATACGACATTTTAAGAAAACTACAACAGAAACTATGTATTTTCATTTTAAATAGAGACTAATATTTATGTACTCTACTAATAATAGAATAGAATCGAATATCATAATGGTGTGGGCAGTCCTTAATTGCAATACTTATAAGTAACAATTTTCTAATCACATAACACAAACAGTTATAATTTCTAAATCAAGACCTTCAGCGTTACCTAAGTCACGTTGTAATGAAAACGACCGTTAGACAAATAAATGTCACAACCCTCCGTTGGCAATTACTGCACGTGGTTCGAGTTATTTTTGTTCATTTCAAAATGGCTACAGAACTTTTATTATATATCAAGACAATAGGACACTTTATAGGCTGCTACATAAAAACAGAGTTGACGATATTCATGTAATTAACTCACTTACCATAAATAGTTAATAAGATAGACATGTTCTATACTAAACGTTTTGTAAAGATATTCCAATTTCAGAAACACCATCTGTGTCTGGCACATGGGTTGTGTGTCTAGATAATAAACCCTTTATTCATAGATTCAACTATATCGAAGCAGTAATTGTAAACCTGAAGAAGTTATTGTTGTGTTTTGTATGAGAAACAAACAGATACTTTGGAAATATTCAATGGAGACTTAGATTTATGTAGGTATATTTCGATTATTAAGGCCATATAAGAGCCGGTGTTGGTATTCATGTTTAATTCAACTCTCAGCTAAAGCTGCATTGGCTTATCACGTGTACCCTCACTAATGGCTTTGCTTTCTCGTAATTGGGTTCACGTTCGATTCAGTTTGCTTTCCAATTTATAAATCCAATAAAAACAATTTGCAATATGACATTGGTCTCACATACCAGTGGCTTCAAATATTGGGCCACACATACATTTGCTCGCAGGCATAAATTTAATAATTCAAAATACCGTTTGGGCGTGTCATTCTTACTACCCAGAGAATACTTACAACCATTAACTGTCAACAATATGCCTCGGTTTAATTAGTGTGATTATTTCAGCATTTTGTATAACATGTAATATTTATTTACAGTCCAATTTGCTAATGAACGGGGAATCGTCTTTTTGGTATAAAATATATGTTCTACGTTGCTGCAAAAATGTTTCACAATGACATTGAACTATAAGATATTTTCTAGTCTGTTACTTAGAAAAAAATTATACGTTCTTACCTCGTAGTACTTGTGAGCAAACATCGCAAGGCGTGATTTTCTTGTATGTGTATTCTTGAAAGTTATGTGCCTCGGAGTCTCCGCCGGCGCGCATTGCGTCTCTTGCCGCTCCATTCCTCCTAGAAAACAGTTCACATTTGCACACTAATGTTCGAATGCTTTAGTCCATTTCAGAGATTGTATCAAGTTAGCTGAAAGTTCAGTATTAAAATTCTAATACAGTTTTTCTAGCTTTCTACATGCTTAATTTTTTACACATTTACGTAAGGACCTTACTAATTTATCAATTGTTTGTAAAAAAAATGAAAGGGATTTCAGTCTAATTTTTTATTCAGGCTTAATCAACTTTCAATGAAGTTTAGCCTCCAACAAGACCAGCACAATGAAATTTATTAATTCTGTATGTGGGCTGTCATATTATAATTTTTGTACGTCATGGATATCGACCGGTGACGTCCAAGGTCAAGGGGAGACAGTTCGTGAATCAGTCTACGAGGTAGTCGGTAATCAGTCCCTCGCCGACACCGGCACAACTACTAATGAACTGTTCCGTAATGACTTTCCTTCGCCTTGAGGATTGCTTTAAACACGAACTATCTTTTACACAAATTACACTATCAATTGAATCAATTAACATTGAATCAGACTGAAATAAAGCAAGCACACTGATATTCATTTTTATTGCGAACTCAATTCAAAGCTGAAAGGACTGAAGGATTCCAAGCGCATCAGAGACCTGGCGGAAGTGTCTGTTTTATCTAAAAGCTGGTGAAAAGTTACTGTCACTAACATAAGTATTGTTTGTGTACAAGCATAAATAATATCAACATGCTATTTAGGATATTTTCTACGTGTCAAAGGATGAGCGATAGTTCCAACATCTGGACAAAATGAAACATGTACATACATAGGCTCACACCTACGGGGCACAGTTACCTCATTGCCATTACCGTCGACACCGCGTGGTACATTTGATTTTTTCTTTATCGATGCAAAAAGAGAGAAACATCAAGATGAACAAAACATGAATTAAACGTGATCAAATACAATTAGTGCAGAAACCTGTGTGATAGTGATGCATTTGATAACTGACAAATGATGTAAACAATCGTTTCTGATGTTTATTGTTATTAAATGTATTTTATTATCATCACAGATTACCGTTAGTAAGTGTAAGTGATTTAATAATTACAGTGCTGTTGTGTTAATATGAGTTTTGTCTTTTTAGTTTTGTTTTAATTAAATGACTTACACTGAACGCATTTGCTGGCACTAGACACGAGGCATGATACAATTTTTGTAAACAATTTCAAAATGGATGTGAGACTAGAACATTTTCATATACGTATTCATATACAAAATGTTGTCGGTAAAATACAATTCTAAGGCGAATATTGAAAAATCGGGCAGATGTTAAATTTTGAGCTTGGAAATTCAATCTCAGCATTAAATGCAACAGATAGCAAAGAATAAAGGTAATAAAAATTGCAGCTTATTCTTTAATCTCAGCAATTTACAGCATTAACTAATATGTATGTATAAAATGTTTAAAAAACGATTCCTAGTTTAAACATATATGTGTGGATACAGGTACGTAGTCGTTAAGTCCTAACTCTGTTGCCTTTTCCGGTTCACGGCGTAAATTCAAATTGGTGAACACGAAAATAGAGAATGAAAATCGTATTGCTGAAAGTGGCGCTCCTTATGTATTGTGTCAACAGACTAGTCCGTAGCTCTGTGACTATTGTGTGCATCTCGTTATCTTGAGTTTCATTATTTGTATAGAGCGCTTGAAATATCGCCCGCACTAGAATTTCTTCCAAACTCAACGCCCTCGTTGAAGATTCAGTGTTATGCTTGAATTATCTTGTTTATGTTTATTTACGAGGTTGCTATCGTTTGTTTACTTACTTTGTTATTAATATTATAAAATTTGGAATATCTTCGAGTATTATTCTAAGTCTGAGAACAGATGCTTTGCCTAAAATTTTTGTTTTTATTTTCAGCATTAAGTTAAGCGGATCAATGGCACTGTGAGAATAATATACTTTTTAACAATTTGTATAAAGCATTAAAAATTTAATTCAATGATGTTGGAAACCGGTTAAGAATTTTATCATTTTCTAAAAACAGTAATCCAAAAATAAATTTGTCCACGCACGAGGATTATAAATTGAGTCTCAGATACAGACGTAATTTTGAGTTTTTATAGCTCTTTCAAATAATAATTAACTTTGTTAAGCACATTTAGAAGCCTTACGTTGTAAAGCGGATACTTGCGTTAGTAATCTTGTTTGCAGGGAGACATAAGGCTCTTACATAATGCAAGTGATCAATAATTGTAATCTGATTTCTATGACAAACGTGACAGGGTCGAGAATCTTTCCTAGATTTTCCAGCTGCATGTATGACATGACGCATCGAGGGAGGACGGAGTTATAGCTTGTAGATTTAAATCGGGCTGGTTCAATTTTGGCGTACATGACACTGTTTGAATGGAATTTTCCCCAGAGAATAAAACAATGAATTGGGTTAATAACTCAGGTCGAAGAGGATTTCATCCGCAATAATTGTTTTGCCAAGTAACTCCAGTGTTCAGTTATTTTATATAAAGAGTCTTTATTATTCTTCTTCGCTATTAAAGTAAACAGCTCTTTCTCAATTAGTTCAGAGGTCTAACTTCCTGTATAAATTAATTATGGACATAAAGCACGTGTGCATACACAGTCAATACAACTGTTATTTCCTGGCCTTAGTATTGCTGCGCGACGTAATTTCCTCTTATAGCGTAGTATTGGCAGGATTCTTAGTATTCTCTAGTGCATTTACACAAAATATTAGGTAGGTATAGGTACGCTATTCTTCAGTTTTTCAAATGTACGAGATGATAAGTATAACATTTATGCGTATTCTATGTAGTGAAAAAGGTATTTTTTATTAGGTGTACTTTCATTGTATTCAACTTATAGTAAGTAGATACCTATTCAGGAATAGTTTCAACATCCATTTTGAATAAATTATTACATGTATATTTAAGTACGGCAAAATTGTAACCCGTCAATTTTATTAAATTTCCATGCTTTTAATTATGAACATCTGTATTTAATTTTATTATAATGTTTATATTTCAGTCAAAAAATGTGTCTTACTTGTCTGGTGGTGCAGCGTGGGGTGGGGGAGCGCTGGGCGGCTTCAGGCTTCGGAAAGCCTTTAACCACTTATTCTTCATGCTTCCAGCCGATGATGATGACAACTTTCGGTCGACTGCCGCAGCTCCGCTATCTGCTTTCGCCGCAAACAGCTCCCTCTGTTTATAAAGAAAATATTTTCGTTGAGAAAACACTAAAGATTTAGGACGGAATTCCTATGAAATACAAAGAAATTTCTGGCTATACATAACTATACTCAAACTCTTATAATATTATGAAAACAATATCTTATGTCGTTGTTTTTACCCGACATTGTTTACCTAGTTATATTATACAATACCTGTCAAGTTCCCGCGGCGTTAAGTGCCTTTTTCAAGGTATCGTTCAAGAAGCCAGTGTTGGGTTATGTAAAAATAATGTCTGTTATGGATAGAGGTAAATTACATGAAGATCTTTTGATAATGATAGGTACGAAATGTGTTTGAATATGACCTTATACATTAAGTCACTTAAAGACATAATACGATATTTATAACATTAGATTAAACAAGGGTTAACGGTGATTGATTGAACAGTCTTAAGAGGTTGATAGTAACTTAACAGATAATTGTTAGGTTTGATGTGATATTTATTTTTGACTTAGATATCCTTTTACTATTTTAATTCTACCTCTATGTTGTGAAATAAAATAAATGTTGAAAGATTTTATATTCATTTTGTAAGTTGGTTGTAATGTATTTCTGCTTTTGTTTGCCAAGATTCAGCTCGCACCAGTCAAGGCTTGGCAACCATTTTCAGCTATTCTATTGTCAAAAATAGTAATTTATTGACTTCCTTATGCACATCTTGCAGTTAAAAATGGTTTTCTTTAAAAGCGTTTGACGGTTTTTGATATACAACAACGATTTTTTGGTATGTGGGTTATAACTATATTTTCACGTCGGTTAAATGTAACAAGTCTAAATCTATTCCAAAGCTTAGATGATAAATACACTTTTTGTCGTAAGACTTATTTATCAGAGTAAGATATTAATAATTTACTGTAAAGGTATTAACTAAATCAAATAATGAAAATGTTACAATCTCAGCAAATAAATTCACAGATGTGTATGTAATAATCGGAATGATATTCTAAATGAAAGAAAGTGACAAAGTCTATTCACTTTTAACTAGATATATCAAAGCCGCTAGAGACCGTATCAAGATAACTCAACAAACATCTTACTTTACCGTTAATTTGCGATCTATCGAGAAATCGGGTCAACGATGAAGATCAGAGAATTCAGCAACAAGGTACTTAATATATTCATTCATAACTATCGGGGAAAACAGTCACGGAACATATAACCCCAATACATATTACCTAGGAGGTATATAGATACTTTCATAATTTTTCCTGTTTTGTCGTACCTAGGAACTAGCTTACTAGTTTAGTATACATAGTAGTTTGCTTACAAACATTGACACTATTGACTTGTTTATGTGTACACGCACAATCTTTATTTTCCAAACATTTGATCAAACAAAAATGTTTGTGTGCCTATCTAGTTAATGAGGTATATCGTGTTACGTTTATAATCACCATGCACGTCTACTGGTACTTATATTTTGGTTTATATCGCTTATGTATGTAGGTACCTAATCGATACCTTGTTGACGTGCTAAAGATGATTATTAAATCATAACTAGTTGCTTACAGACTGTTGGGTGGGAGCCTCTAGTACCTATTCGGTTTTAAAATTTCTTTAGTTAGATACTCCTTTTAATCGAAAGAGATTATAAGTAGATACCTAAATTAGGTATCCAAAGTTAATTTGAGATTTTAACTTTTTTATGGGTCCCTAATGATGATGGATCCGATAAAACACTTTTCGTATTAAATCCAAAACTAACAAATAAAGTCAAACTTTCCATTACAAACGTAGATGCTGTCTTGTAAGTAGTTTCAAAAACAAATTGCCTTTTTCATGGCGACCTACTATAAGGGGTATATTCAGAAGCAATATTCTAATCTATGTTAATTTGTTCGTTGGTAGATAGTAACATTTCTTAGTAATTGTTATTGTCACGCAGACCTAGAGCTATAAGCGTCTAATCTAATAGAAGCAATGGATTCATTGTCTTCATAAAAGCATTTTATATTCATTTACAATTCTGATATCTTGATAAATTTTTCCCATTTGATCCGAATATGAAATCGTATATCTTCATTGAAAGGTCGAGTAGGTACCTCTCTACCTACAAGGTGCTTGACACCGGAATAGGCAGACATAATAAGTACCAGTATGAGTACAATATGGGTACATACAGCGAGGGATTTCATAAGTGTTTCGTTTGCCTAATGATGGTGGAGCTAAAAAAACAGCCGACCTGGTACCTATTCAAAAGATTTTCTTTCTTTTATTTCGAAACGTTTTTGTAGCTTTCTCGTTTCAGACTTTTCTTTTATATAAAAAATAGAGAGATTTTTTACTTAGATACGTAGGTCTGTAGTCTATAGTTAACTGAAATGAACAAGCCGCACAGAAGGGCAGAAGAGAGGTAACGGTTACGTGTTTATGTAAACTATGTCAGTACTTAGTATAATGTAAAAGAATGGTCAGAAATTGACAAAACGGATGGCTTTAATTGGTTAATATCATTTCGTATTAATTTTTATAAAGTATGAAAAGGACAAATTTAAGGAGTGTACTTATCTTGAAAGTACCTCTATATACCCACTTAGAAATGCTCCCTAGTGGGCTAAAGTAGGCTAGTAAGTAGACAAGAGCGCCATTTAATCAAAAGTCAATGATCATATTTCTTACCTACCGACTATCTAGAGACTTGCACATTATCTTTCATGAGAAAAAGAAAGCTTCTGGGTATATGAGGAAAATAACTTCATTGCTTCCTATATTTAGTTGGGTACTGTTCAGTTATTTTTCCGTGAAATATCAGACACCTACTTCATTTGTTTTTTCCAAAAGAATGTACTAGTATCTACTTGTATATCAGTTACAGCTCTTCTACGTTTGGGATAGGTGGTTAAACCTTATCCGCGCACTACGTGATGCAAATTAACTCATTTACATGCCTTTCATTCTCAAGCCTTTCTCAACTTTTTAAGGGTACATTTTAAATTTTTCGTTAAAATTTGCACGTCAGTAGTCCATCCCAGACTTTAATATTTATGTTATATAGTACCTACCTATAAATCTAAGACAAGGGAATAAATTATATGTATTTCCATTATGGAATAGTTTTCTCATTTTTATGGGCATTTAAATATTTTTAAAAGTAATTTCTAGGAAATGAATGTTATATAAATCATTTTTTGTAAACACATTTATCACAATAAAGTCGTTACGGCTACCGGTTCCCACTATTTCCGAAAAGGTCTCCTCCACTTATGAATGATAAACTTTCAGACATTTAGGTGTGTTTATCCACTTACCTATTTGTAAGTACCTAGTCCCTACGTATATAAATGGTCTAATTTGAAATGAATGTATTTGAGTTTTGACAAAGGCGAATGAATATTGTAAAAACAACTTGTAGGAGTCGAATCATAGAATATTCATTCATGAATAGATTATGAACTTAAAGAGAAGTTCATTGAAGTTCTAAATAAAATGGTAATTTAAGTAAATACTGATCTCCTGGTATGTTTAGGTATTGCGAAAGAATTGAATAAGAGGGTGCTCACTGTTCACCTATATGAACGGCTCAATCGATTATATTTATTACCCAAGTCGCGCACAGAACATTAGCCCTTTGACTTTGAAACATTACAAGCAGCACATTATTAGTCATGCGATGCGAACACGATGTCGTGCGTTCACTGCCCAAAAACTATTGCGTGACCTACTATTTTTCTGATAGGGTAGTGATTTTTTTAAGCTGCCGTATTGGTTTTGCTGTGGTCGCAACTTCAGCGTTATTGTTTCTAACCTCAACTTCCGAACCAAATGAAATTATGAAAGTTTTATGTAGGACGGTCAAGAAAAATGTGTAGCTTAGGTCCCTACGAGACACGAAACTATAAGAGAATTCTTGTCTAATTTTCAATCTGCGTACAACCTACCATAACTACTCTTATAGTATGCTCAAACCAGTAGTGGTAACTTGAAAAAAACCCTAAGATAGAAAACATATGTATACGGCGAAAGATTTTGTTTATTCGTTGGGAGTTATCAAAATAATAAATAGTCTTTCCAAATAGAAATTTATTTTGTTACGTGCCCGGTGTCTTGGGAGTCTGTATGACGACATTGTGAGGCTTTTGGGAGGAAATGTTGTCTACCTACTGAATAGTAATGGGTATATGAAGTTGTGGGCAATGTGGGCTTTCAGTGCCTACATTGTTTTTTCTTATTACATTAATTGATTAGGTGGGTACGGTTGACTTATATCTGTCTCAGTTTTCATGTAAAAGTAAACACCAACCAAGCTCGTTTATATCTCAGAATGTTTAAGTGCATCAAGATAGAGAAGAATCGTGTCAAGTTCAAATAAAGGCCGGGACTATAAAGCGCCTTATCGCGGCGGATGGACGATGACGTGAAGCGACTTATCTACCATACCCTTTATATCTTCTTTTTATTCAAGACGTCTCCAGAATCAACCTACTCCTTTACCTTAGTATTTTACAATGAGCATCTTCTACTGATTGCGTGTTGTTGTAGAGACAAGAATCTGACAGATGTACCTACCTACTTAATTCACGTTCCGCGAAAAAGTGTAATAGATATTTATAAACGTAAAGATAATATAATCAATAACTTTGTTTTTATTTCGACGAAAAGGTAAGGAGTACCTACCTACTTAATAAGAATATTGAGAGCCACTTGAAACATGCTGTACCAACATAAGATAGGAATACTTACATACTTATATACTACTTAGACTAGACCCAGACAGACTACACCTGCTTAATTGCCTATCGAAACATTAAGTAGCGTTCTAACATAAACAATAGAAAGTCAAATATCAAATTTCATGAAGAATACGTACCTACGTCCTACTCAAATAAATAATATGTATAACAGGTAGACAGGTACAACCCGTGGTACACATACAGGTGTAACTAGGCTTATCAATAATGATAAACAACATAATATCACTTTTGAAAGCTGGAAAAATATTTCGAAATATCTGTGTGGGAACGAGGAGACTG